AAGGTGATAAGAAAACGCTCGCGCCATTCCTTTTACAAGTGTCAATAGCTAACCGCATTGAGTTATATTCAGGGCAGCGCGCGCCGCGAGCAAGTTGATCGAAGACCCCTACATCGGCACTCCTGTTCGCAGCCGTGTAATGACCTGGTCACACTATAGGCGAACAACCGAAAACCAACGAACAAACAAACGGCAGACACACCTGGTTGGCTTAGCCGCATCGGCTCTTTGGAGACATCGAGACAACCTTCATCGGCGTCGCTAATTTAGGACGTATTTTGTTATCTCCGATTAGCGATGCTCGAGCAAACGAAATGTCTGCTCGTATGATGTATACACTCCGTGCGGGAACTATAGGGGGCGCTTTGAAAAACGCGCGCAGCGCCGCTAGCGGAGGAGCTGGCGTTCGACTGTGAGGCGCGTTCAGCAGCCTGCGGCGCCTTTTCGCATGCCAAGCTGTGGCGGCGGAAGCGCGCACGGACAAAACTTTTGCTTTTTGAGCCGATACGTTGAGGGTGACGTTGCATGAGTGCTGAGGCAGACCTAAGAAGGGCATTTAGCTGTTCTCCTCTTCTTATATATTGAGTTTTAGTCGTTATTCGGGGGAATTGCTCTAGTTGCGGCCAAAAAAGGAGTTGGAGCAATTTTACGAAAAGCAAGACGGCCGCCATCATAATTGCTTTGAGTGGGAAATTTATTTCGTTCGTCGCTGTAAACGTAGGACTGCTGGAACGATGATATTGGAGGCGAGTGAGATGTCCACTAAGTTTCTGCCCGAAGTGTGCCAAGTTTCATTAAGACAGCAGGTGTGAAAGTTGTTTCTAATAATGTTGTGTTATAGCGGGCTGTGCAAAGTGCAGATTTGGGCACACAGGTGCTTGGACTTGACAGTAACATGACACAGCACTTATTATACAAAAAAAAAGGTGGCACCAGGTGAAAATTTGGTTTGGGCGGCGTAATTTAATGGGAACCGGTTTTGACCATGAAAAGGCTGTCAAGGGAATACCACTGGTCGGTGGAGGTGGAGACTTTAGAGGTAGGAAGGGACTAGTGGACTGTACTTACAATTGAAACAACTTTACGAAAGGTGGTTCCAACGCCGAGAAAACAAAGTTGTCGGCCAACACACGGTTTGGCCGCCAAGGGCTTTTGCGGTCAGCTGTTGTGTAATAACCTGTTGTGCGAGGTGCTGATTTTCGGCTCACAGGTACTTTGACATGACAGTCACTTGGCAGAACACTTATTATAACAAAAATAGTCGGCATAGCGAAACCAGGTGGAAATTTAGTTTGGGCGGCGTAACTAAATGGGAACTGGCTTTGACCGTCAAAGGCTGTCAGAAAATACCACTCATGGTGGGAGGTGCACACTTTACAGGTAGGAAGGGACCAGTGGACGGTACTTCCAGTTCGAACCACTTTGCGATAGGTGGCTCTAAAGCCGAGAAAAAAAAAATTGTTCTCTACAGAACTCGGGGTGTCAGTGTTTCCACATCCAAAAGGAGGCTGATCAAGAAAGAAAGCACACCACATAAACTTCCATACTCAAACGCCGATTCGCCAGTGATTCTGAGTTTCATGGTAGTTTTCTTTAGATTTATATTTGTCACTTTCTTTACCGTTCAAATCTTTCTTCATGAAGTACAGATTGCGTGCCGTATTTGTCCGGAAATATCATCGACAGGTACGATGGGGACGAAACTTCTTTGGAGGGCATTCCTCCAACGAAATTGGCACTGCATACCCGCGAGTGTGGGATGGCATTTCAGTTCGTCCCATCGGCGCTGACACATGTGGGCGTTACTGGTACGAAAACAAACGCAGAGCGCAAAGCGGCAGTGTAGAATATGTCAGGCGTGCCGACACAGTGGCAGACATGATCGGGACACCAAATTTCTCGCGTCGTGCGGCAAGGCTCCATCGTTGTCGCTGTCCCACAAAACATCGGCGAGGTGAAAAACTGTGAAACTTTGTCTCCACGAGATACGACGCATAACTATTGAAGCACTTAATGACGCAGCACAGGCAGCACTTCATGCTGTGAACCCAGCGCAACAGCACCACTCAGAATTCAACGCGTACCAACGTACGCCGGCGTGGTTTCGGTTTCGTTTTCTCTGGGATGCTCACTGCCTACCTTCGGAACCGGCCGCGCGGCGGCGCGCCAGTTGCGTCGCACGGAGTGTATAGGGTGTTATCAATAGGTGGGCTCGCTCTCAAATCAGCCGGAAAAACAAGCACCCGCAGGTAACGTGTTCTAGCGTTCATTAAATCTATATTTTAGTGGTGCATCTTGCCTCGCGAAGCCGTCTAAAACAACCTTGTTCCATTAAAAAAAATAAGCCAGATCAACATACATGTTTTTAACTGTGAACTCCGACGCAGACGGTTATTCTAACGCAGACGAGCGAATTAACCGAGGGTTACGCATGTGGCGCCGTCTCTGGATAGGCACAGCGAGCAGACTACGGCAGTTGGTAGAGCGCAGACGACACCGACGTTGTCTCTTCGTAAAAAAAAAAGAAAGAAAAAAAGCGGGTCGTTGTTCTCTTTTTATTATTGGTCAATAAAGTTATGTGTACAGCCTTCGGGTGCCGTTGACACCTTGCAGCTGGTATCTGTAGTAGACCCGTGTGACATAACGCGCTAAAAGTAAAGCCTTAGCTGCAGCGCTTTTTCTAACAAATGACAACATCATTACTTTGATTACAGGAACCAGTCACATATTTAAGTTAATTTTAACCCAGTAACCCGTAACGGTATCTAGTTACTATTATATCATTTTTTTCCTAAGGAGCACGCACAACTCTAACTTCAGCAAGAACCGTGCTCAGTTTGCATTATATATAATCATCAATACTAAAAAGACAGACAAGCGTAGTCATCGACTGTTTCTTTTTTTATTGTTGTAAGGAAATATTTTTACCAAGGGCTGTTTCACACACTTGGGACCGTTTACGACTGTGTGCCTTAAAGCCTCTTGAGATCTCTTGCAACGAGAGAAGACACTGGTGTCGTCTATTAGATAGCATCGCAACACTTGCAGTTTTCGTATATTTTCTATTTTTTCGTGCATCGCTCTTTTTTTTTTTTTGCTCTAAAACTGTTGACAGTGTTCTAAACAAGCATGTCTCATAGATAGCACGTCTATTCTATCTCACAAATGCCGCATAACACTCCCTCTAGAGAAATGCAGTTCCAGGGTCACCTGATAGATGGCGCCAGCGTGGCAGTGTGCTCTCTTGTCTTTAGAGGTCACAAGACGCCGGTCGTAAGCAAACGCATCGCGAGAGTGTGAATGCGGCCCTAAGTGTTTCCACTGCTCCCCGCAAGCGTGAAAGCAAACCAGTCAGTGGCACCATAAGAACCGCGAAACAATCTCTGCCCACAAAAATAAAAATAAAAAATAATAATAATAAAAATAAAAGAAAAACAGCAGTTTGTGCAATGCACAGTGCTTCGAGACGCACGGGGCAAAGATTACAACAGCAATATTCTGGCTAATGCCCAATGCACCGAGACGCATTGTACATTAAACAAAATATTGTTTTTGTTAGCGTCGATATTGAAAAAAAAAAAAAAAAAAGCGGAAACTCTAATTATTGTTTTTTCTTTTCCTGATTTCACAAATTCGATAGATTGCTACTGCGCGGCCCGGTAATATCATTTTTCTCTAAGGATTTGCGGAACTTCTTTTATGGATTTTATGTCGCTCGCTACAAACAATAGGCTGTTCGTTTAACTTTTTAGCCTTTTTGTCTCGTCGTTTAGTGGTGCACTTGTGTTTTCTGCGACTCTGTGTTTTCTGCTTCACGTCGGACCCTCTTACATAAAACGTAGCAAAAACAAGAAGTGACATGTTCCTTGTGACATTTGGTGATGAGTCTCCGATAACGAGCATTCTTTTTGAACGAACTCACTCCACGAGCGAACTCATTCTTTGAACGAACTTTTTCTTTAAGGAACTTACTTTTTGAGCGAACCTACAGCTTAAAAGAACCTAAGTAATTCTTGAACGAACTAATGTTTCGAGAGTGCATGGAGAAACGCCATGCAGTTAGTTTTAGTAACGCTCAGATATCAAGTGTCTACATCGTCGGATTTTGAATGAAGCCTTGCTAAGGTTTTCCATGGTGGCCAAACTAAATTAGGTAGCTCGGTTACTCCCAAACGTCTGTCTACACTTCGCGACGGAATTAGCGAGATTATCGCATCGGCGCTTCTTTATATTTTATGATGACAGAATATTAAAGAGCACCAAAGTTTACAGTTTAGCTCCGTTCCCTGAAGGAGCACTTTACACCACGTTAGTATTTTTGATGACAGCATTTCAATAGGCCCATGGCAGAATTCAGTACATCTGGTGGCTCGTCAAGCGGTTTCACTTTCGACAAGGTAATGGCTGTCATAAAACTGTATTTCATTGGGCACCGTCGCCTCCACGCATCATTGACAGCCGATTAAACAGTTCTTCAATCACTTCATAATTATTTCTCGATCTGCTTCCGTGCCGAGGATGCGAACATAATAACTGACCAGTACAAAGCGGCAACACCTAAGCCGCTTGCTTAAACTTTCGTCATCGAAAGGTTCCTAAGCCAAACTTGCGGAAAATAGGTGAATTATACGACACTCAGAAATAAAAGCTTACACAGGCGCTGTATCGAATTCGCATGTCCTGTTGCACTGACAATCAAACATATAGGCCTCATATTGTTTTTACTGTTTCGGAGGGTTTTTCTGGCACCTACCCATCTTTCACTTGGTAGCATCTTCCACTTCTTCCATCACCAGCCTCAAGATGGCCACCATTAGTTTGACACAAACGACACACACTAAGATGATGATAGTGATCAAAGTTGCCAGACTGAATTCCGAAAAAGGGTCTATCCTAAAATTTAAAAATGCGAAAGAAACTGACGATCGCTTGTTCGCGCTAACAGCGCCGCCGCTCTCTGTATACCCAAGAGTATCGAGCTTGTGTTGGTGTTTGCTCACCTTGTAAGCGAAGCGCAGTTCCCAGACGCTCTTGGACTCTGTCATGCAGTCACCCCTGGTGACTTGCGCGTGCCCCTGCCTCACTCCCGGAGGCAGCATGGCGACTGAGGCGGTCTCCCGACCCCTCGTCGGACTCAGGGCCGCCCTCCTGCCCAGTCCGGGCTCCAAATAGACGCCTGCGAGGACAAGAGGAAGAAAACAACGGAACGTTAGACAAACCCAGACTTGTACGTCACGCATTACAAGTAATCGATTACTTTTCTGAGCGACTTTGTAATCATTTGAATGAATTTATCAGGAAGTAATCACGGGAGTAATCTGAATACTTCTGGAAGCACTCAATTTACTTGCAAGCGTAACTATTTTTTTCCTGCCCTTCCTGGTGAGGCCACTTGTTTCTACCAGTTTCCCACCGATGAATATTTGAACCAAGCCTACGACAGACGGTCGATTTATCGAAATCGGTGGATTGAGGCAATAAGTAATTCGTTGTTCGGCGAATCTAATCCAATGATTGACAGTACAGAAGACCCGTTTCAAACCGGCAGAAAAATCTGTCGCTTTAAAAATCTGAAGTAATGAAAAAAGTAACGATTATTTTTCAGGTCATTTTTTCTCTCAAGTAATCAAGTATGCTAATTGAATACTTTTAACAAAAAGTAATTATAATCGATTCCCTTTTTTTTGTAACATGTACGAGACTGGACAAACCAAGTCAACATTTTTTTTTTTTTTTGCTGCTGGCAATGTATCACAAAGCGACAAACAGAGAACCCCAAAAAGATTCGCGCTATTTCCTTATTGTAAAGGTGCCGGTAAAAGACGGCTAATTGTTCACTATAGTTTACCAGTCGCACCAAAACTGGCACAGCTAAACGAACTCAATCCCGACGCATATATATTTTTGTATATTGCGATTACAATGTTTTTAATACATTCATGGAGGTTCGACCATAGCACGTTGATGCGTCATTAAAGATCTACTTCCAATGCCATTCTGATGCGCCAAAAAACATTGAAGGGGAAAGATAAAATGCTATGACATTGCACATTGAGCGTGTTGGTCAACAGGAAAGAAGTGCATAAAGAGCATCACCGTTGACAAAACTTTCGACTTTCCGCGGGATGTATTTTTGCAAGCGCGCGAACCTGAAATCATTTGAAGAGCCAAGTTTGGCGGGTGAGCGTCTTCACAGCAATTAGCAATTTCGCCTCACTATACCGTCCGAAGACTGTACTATACATATATAGACCATTACAACGCGGGCGCAGCCATCTTGAATCACAGAACTTCCGGTATGCGAGAAAACATCGTTCTCTCGCCACGTCACAGGGAGAAGCCCACGTTTTAATCCGAGACTGTTTATCATTCTTGTTTTGCCTTTTCTATATTATTTTACTTATTCCAAGTAGTAATACCTTTTTTTTCTGTTTTTTTATTAATGCGAAAGCATTAACTGTCCCATGCAGCGGACCGGCGTTATCTGAGTGTGGCAGGCGTTATCGTTGTCTGTAGCAGCGATAAGCGGCATCCAAATTCCCATTGGCTGAGCGAAACGGCACCTAAATTATGTTTATAGCAGCGATAAGCGGCCCATAAATTCCTCTGAGCGAACGGCACCTAAATTCCCATTGGCTGCGGCGCGTCATGTGGCTCTATAGCAACGGCGTCATCGTTGCTATGGACCCAGCCAAACTGTTGGTGGCGCACCGGGAGCGGGAGCACTCGGGTATACGCTGGCGTGACGTTAGGCCTAACGTTAGGCCTAGTCCTACGCTTTGACGTCTAACGTCGTCAACCGGTACCCGCAGCTAGGGTGATGATGATGATGAGAGAACATGTGATTTCAGCACGCGCCGCACCGAGCTTCGCACTCCCGCCGCTGCCTCACCCAGCGGTGCAGCAGTCACCAGTGAGCCCGGGATGCTTTCGTATTCACAACTCATAATAAATGTTTAGGTGTCCACGGATTTTTTTTTTTTTTATCACACACCTGATTCGCGTGGTTGGGAACAAGGGTAAACGAAAAAAGGTATATAGACCGTTTACAAAAGTGCACGTCAATTTACTACTCGTCCGCCGGTTATCTCAGGCAGCCATATCTTGGGCATGCCCTCTGGATTGGACATGGACACGAAGGCTGCGTCACAGTAAGGCGATAACTCGTGTTTAATCGCAGGTTCCTTGGCGGAAGCGAGGCCAAAATTTGGCGGCCACCCGTGTTGCTTGATGTGGCTTTGAAAGGGTGACATTGCGGAGCAATTTAACGGATGCAGTAGAACCGCTTAACCCCAGAGTGACTGCTAAAGGAACGCAGGTTACCACAGCGTAGGTACAGCGCAGGTCGTAACCTAAAGAGGGCAGGAGTGTAAACCAGACTCGTGGCCTTGAGGGTCACTAGACAGACGCAGAGTACGGCAAACTGCCCCAGTTCAAGTTCCCGATCTAACCTAAAAAAACGCGTATATTACATTACACTGCGGTCTCCCAGAAACGGGTCAGCAATGGCGCTAATAATAGCAATATACCAAATAAAACGAGGCATCACGCCGACTCTGTCTCATAGAACCGAAACACTTCGGAGCTCCCCTAGCAGGCGCGAACTCGAAACAAGACGCGGTTCGGCGACCATCAACAAAGACGCCCCTCGAGGACCACGAAGAGTTCTTTTGAAATGAAAGACAGAAGGCAGCACCCCGCCAGGCCTCGAAGGAATTCCATCGCTTTATTGAAGCCGTACGCCATCGCGATGCTTGGATGATTCCAGGAAGCGACTTATTTACAATGGAACTCGAGCGCACACATCCATCATGGTCAGATAAACGCTGGACAGTGCCTCTCAAGAAAACAACAACAACAAAAAAGCGAACTGAAAAGATATACGGTGCACTCAAAAAGACAGATCTTTTAAGCTGTGCTCGAGGGACACAGCGTAATTCGTGACCTCTGCCTTAACCTTAAGGCTTCTAAGAACGTGACCGTAGTTTGACCGGTTCAGCATTGCAGTGGGTATGCTGGTGCCTGAGCGCGAATTTCCAAGAAGCATGCTCAGGATGGGAAACGCTGACAAAAACGGAAGGACATAGCACGCTTATGTATGTTAAAACTAAAAGCGTATGGATATCTTCCCATGACATAAATTTTGACGCGATAATAAATATATCTGATGCTCAGAATTCAAGGGCATGACAAATCATGGTGCGACAAGGACAATGTCTGAAGGAAGCCTGAATAAATGTAAGTACGCTGAGGATTCACACTCGGTCTTACCTGGACATATCTTCTTTTTTTTTTTTAACTTGCCTCCGGCATCCGAAAACATTTGAATCATGAAGGCATTCTTTTAGTACCCGTATTATGCAGACATAAATTAGTTTGCCCGGATTTACAACTATATATCTGAGCTACCATCGGCATTATTACCGGACATGTTAACTTTAATTAAATAGTACCGCGCCCGGTGTAATCTTAAAGTATATGTAATAACAATATGACCACGCATCAAGCTAATACCTTCGCCGAGTCACGCTGCATTGATTCGATTCAATATATAATCTATAGTAAGGCGTAAGCGGTGCGAAATCTAACGTTATCTAAGCATCACCTTAACAAATCGTATAATACAACGAGAATTCATAGAGAGTTGCTTGGCAAGGTAGTTCGCATAATGCACGCGGTATGCAACAATATAAAAAAAAAACATAATAATAATAATAAAAGCTGCGAACATCCCGACGCAGCAAAAACTGACAATCCACCATATACCAAACAAATTTAACCAAATCAAAAAGTTAATCTCCGCTTTCGCTGAATACTTGCCCGGCTTTCGAAGTCCTTAATCCCCCTCCCTTTCTTTTCTACATCCATAATCTTTTCCCCTAATCCCCTGTATTTCGCGGTAGAGTTCGGCTGCAATCGGGCGATGCGTCACATTTTGCGCGCCGCTCAATCTTCGTCGCCATTAATCTCCATGAATCTCTATCCATCTTCGAGCCCATCCCAGCCGCTCCCGCGCACATTCCGCAATACTAAATCTGAGGGGCGGATTAGAAAAACACCGCCGATTTTTTGTTCTCAAGGATTCCTCCAATATTGGGTTCTCTCAATCAATAGACACAATGCACCAGCTGTATGCTATATACACCAAGGCGCAAACGATAGGAATTGCAAATATTCAAAATCTTAGATATCCCACGTAGAGAAACAACAACAACAACAACGTAATTCGATCAAATTTAACGTTGTTCTTGCAACTATAGCAATGCAGGACGAACACAGAAGAAAAAGACACAGAAAAAGAAGTGAGAAATTTAAGCGTTAGAAGTGATAGTCCAATTGTAAGATCGCGGATGTGACCGCCTTCAAAGAACCCCTGGAGCGGTTTCATGCATAGCCGCTACATGGTTGTAGTTTATGAACCGAAATATTATCTAGAATGCTCGCTTTCCTATACATCGATTGTCGTAAGGATTTTGTTGTGCGGATACTAAGCGTTTGAGCGGCAATTAAACCAACTATCATGAGAGGTTGGTGCCGCGTATCACTACTGCGTGATGCACGTAAAAACGCAAGGCTAGCAGTCGTGGTGCACCAGCTGAATGCCTTCTCCACAGCGTGAACTAGCGTCGCCATAACATCGTAGACCGACATCACGCTGTCTTAACATCCAACATCCCATTTACTTTTTGGCCAGACCTCCGCCTACAGATGACGCTTGCGGCGTCTACAAGTCGAGGTAAAAATATATAATATTTTCTTGAACCAAATAAATCAGAATTATTTCATTTATATCAGATTCATTTGAATGAAATCACTGTAGCTACAAAATAACCATTCTATAATCACTACACGTATTTTCAAAACATGGCAGACTGATTGACCAATTTTTTCCCGAATTCTGAAAACAATGCCGAAGGATTATAGTAAATTTAAAGTACAGTTTAATTGGACTCTTCTTTAGTGAACGCGGACATACATTAAACAATAATAGCTTGATGATTTTAGTTAGGAAAAAAAGCTTTAATTTTTTTCTTTTTCTGATTTCCTTGCAATATAACGTTAGTTTTCTAGTTTTCATTGGATTCTTCTGCATTCTTATTTACTTGCAATAAGACTTTACTTGACTGACGAACAAAGTGCAACGTAGAAAGAAAATCCAAAGTTTCCATT